ACGGAGCCTCAAGCTATCCCCCTGGGTAGAGTGCCATGGCATCATGCTCACAGCAACCTCCAACTTCTGGGCTCAAGCGAGTTTCCTGCCTCAGCCTCCCAAGTAGCTGGGACTACAGGTGCCCGCCACAATGCCTGGCCATTTTTTGGTTGCAGCCATCATTGTGTTTGGCGGGCCCGGCTGGGGATCTGAACCTGCCACCTTAGGTGTATGTGGCTGGCGCCTTAGCCACTTGAGCCACAGGCGCCGAGCCAAAGCTTTAGTTTCTAATGGGAAAAATAAAACCTGATTAAGATGCTTGAAATATTTGTGAGTTTTTACATTTTATTTTATTTTATTTTTTTGTGAGTTTTTGAATTGTGATCGAGGATGATAAGTAATGACTTAACCCTAGTTTACCTAAATTGTAAATTAGTTCTTTATTTTTACTTACATAATAGTATTGAGCAAGTGAACAATCTACGAGAGATACAAGCACTGAGGCGCCTGCACCCACACCCAAACATTCTTACGCTGCATGAAGTGGTTTTGTAAGTATATCTGGAGATTGAAAAGTTATCTAAATTTGATAAAAATGCTAAATTTCTTTTTAAGAAAGAAAGGCATCATAGACATTTTAAATATTTGCTTTGTAGCTCAGAAAATAACAATTTCACTTCTTCTTACATTACATTTTTATTTGGACAGATGTGTATCTGATTCCTCCTGTGGAGATGCCTTTGTTTAGGTAACTCTATATTGTAAACACATACAAATCGTGCAGATAGTTTGTCTCTTGTAGCTAACTCAGGTTTCTGAAACCTTGAATGTAAGCTCTGAGTTACTGGGAATGCACTGCTGTATTATTTCAGAGATTGTGTATTCTTACTTTGTCCCTGCCAGTTACCATTTCTACACAGTCTCCTATAGCCTTTCTTAGTATAATTGATATCATTTCTGAGTATTTTAAAATTTCTCTTCTAATTATAGAATAGTTTCCATCAGGTTTATGTACCAGTCAAGAAGGCAGAGCACAGCTTGTCCCTAGCTACCTGCCCAGGCCTGGAAGCCTTCTCCCTGGCAGCTCTTTGCTATGCTTCTGGACCTCACTGAGTCAGGGAATCAGGCTGCAGGGTTTTAGGACCTGCTGTTCTGTGGATGACAGGATCACTGCCCCTCTGAGAAGGAATACTTCACAGTGGAGAAGTCTAAACAGAAGCTCTAGACTTTGGGGGTCAGTTTTTAACCTTTGGGGGTCAAACGACCCCTTTACAGGCATCGCCTAAATATATCCTGCATATCAGATATTTACATTATGATTCATAACATTAGCAAAATTACAGTTATGAAGTAGCAACGAAAATAAATTTATGTTTGGGGGGTCACCACAACCTAAGGAACTGTATTAAAGGGTTGTGGCATTAAGAAGGTTGAGAACCAAAGCTCTAGGGGGAGCCTGGCCTATAAGGTGAGCGAAGGCACTCCAGTCTCTGCCAGTTAAAGTCCAGTGGATTTTAATCAGAGGATGGAACAGTTTTAAACTCAAAATGAAATATCTTGTCATTGCTGTATGGCTTTTTGACCTACAGTGTCCTTAGAAGTCAGTTTGGGCCAGATCCAGCAGCTGTAGTTTGCATGTAATAGTCACAACTCCGCATGTGCTGGTGCTTTACACTTTACACTTATGAAGCCCTTATGTCCAGAATATCATGGGGGCCTCCTAGCAGCCAAGAGGCAGTGGGAGTCCTTCCAGCTAGACTGGAGGTACCCAGAGCAGGGTGACACAGGATCTCTGCTCAGGGCTTGGGAAACTCTTTAAAGGCCTGCTTGAACTCAGGAAAAGCTGGTGGCTTAGCCAGAAGCCTCTGTTCCCACTAAGTATCAGGCTTGGACATGACATAGGAGTGATGTGATGCATCTTTCTTTTTCCCCTGTCTAGTTTTTAGGTTTTGTTCTCCCATTGTAATTTATCCCAATAGCATGGAAGTAAATTAAAGCTAAATTTGTACTCACAGAGCATGAATTAACTTTTTTCTTTTATTGTATTGCTCACCAACTCCCCAAACTCTTTTCTTCTTTCTGCTGAAAGTTAATTTTATATTTTCAAGACTTACCTTTTTTTTTAAAAAAAGGACATTTAGAATTTTGCTCAAAGTAGGTTTTACTAGTATTTTAAATTAATTTTACCTGAAATATTGATTTAAAAGCAAAATCTCCAGTTTCAGTACTATACTACAGTCTTTGATGTGAAAGTACCTAATGTTTATCAGAAATGTTTACAAATGAATTAAATATTTAATCATATTTTCTGATTAAGACAAGACAAAAATCATCTTAAAAACCTGCTTTCTTCTTCAGTGACAGAAAATCTGGTTCTCTTGCACTAATATGTGAACTTATGGATATGAATATCTATGAGCTAATACGAGGTATGTAGAATAATTTGAAAGCTAATCTAAGATCCTCTTTGAGGCTTATAGTTCATATATACTTTGCTGTGGTTCTCAAAATCTTTAGTCAGGACTACTTCAAAATCATAGGCATTTTTTGGCAATCTTCTCTACTCAGAATATGGCTGCAGACAAGAAGTAAAGCCATAAGACCCACTGAATGACCATGTGATTTGAATAAGGATGGTGCTGAATGCAGTGGAGGCAGCTATGTGGCAGAGCACTCCCCAGGCCTGAGCTTCCCTCACTGTGGATCATGTGTGCTCAAACCCATCAGACTCTGAGGGCCACTCTTCTCCTTGGACTCTTCTGTTGCTTGATACTCTGTTCTGTGTCTCAAAAATAAGGCAGAGCTTCCTTCCAAACAATCACTCACATGAGAGGGAATCACCTTCTATTTGGATCCTTACAAAGTCTACCATAATCCAGAGTGCTCCTTTATCTCCTTTCTTTTGAACAATAAAGCACTGTTTAGGAAAGCGCATTCTGAGATAACTTTGGTCAGAATGAGTTTTGGATGCTTGCTGAGGGGACCAGGAGAAAAGGAGGAAAGGGGTGGTCCACATTGAGTAAATGTTCCTGTGAGTCTACCCTCACAGTTGTGTCAAATTTTAAGACAGAGGAACCTTGTAAATATCACAAAGAAAGCTGATAGCATATATTCCATTTTATAAATCATATTGTTCTTAGAGGACAAATAAAACTACAACTGCCTTAGTGTCATCGGAGTGATTACTTATAACTTGGAACCATGTTTTAGCAACAGCCTCATAGATGATTTAAAAACTCCTGTATTGCCGGCTAAGGCGCCAGCCACGTACACCTAAGGTGGCGGGTTCGAATCCCCAGCCCGGACCCGCCAAACAACAATGACGGCTGCAACCAAAA